ACTCTTCTGACCCCTGCTTGGTGCCTGCTCCTGGCTGGGCTGTGTCAGGTGCCTGTGGGGCAGAGCCCTGCAGCGGGTGCTTGGAGGTTCCTGGCCTGGTAGTGCCTGCAGCTGGGGGCAGGGAGGGAGTGCCGTGACCCTGGGCAGGGTTGGCATGGTGAGTGAGGGGCTGCCTGCACTGCTGGGACATGGGGAGAGGTCCTGACGCTGGCAGGAGCTGTAGCTGGGGAGGCAAGCGCAGCACATGTGCCGAGGTGATGCCATGGAGCAGCCCCCCGTGAATGTGTGCCAGTGAAGGGCAGGATCGTGCCCAGAGGCCTGGCTTTGTCTTGCCTGCCACCATGGCGTGGGGCACCCGGCCGTGTCCCGCCGGGGACCCAGGGAGGCTCCCGGAGCTGAGCTGCTACCCGGGGGCTGGCTGACACGAGCAGCACGTTCTCGGGGCCATCTGCGTGTCTTCAAGCAAGAGCACTGGGGTTCAGGAAAGGGAAACCCAAAACTCTTGCTCTGTTTGCCGAGGAAATCTGCTCTGTTTGCCGAGGAAATAGGAATTGGAAGCAGCTCCAGCGCGTTCCCCATCCCTGACGCTGCCCCTGTGCTGATTCATTGATTTGGACGGGTTATATACTGGGAGGGGAAGCATGAACCACACTCGGCTCTCTTGCCAGCACGGGGCTGTGCTCACTCGGCGCTCCCGGCTGCAGGACACTCGGGTGAGTCTCCTCTCTGCTATCGCCCCTGCGAGTGGCCCCGGGCCCAGGGGACTCCCAGGGCAGCTCCTGGGGGTGGGGGTGGTGGGATCTGCATGTTCAGCATCCTTTGATTTGATGGAGCTGTTTGTCTTGCAAGGGTTCTCCAAAAAAGCGAGACCACTTAGGCATCGTGGGAGCTGAAATAGTTACATAGGCTTAAATATATCTTAAGTAATAATCAATGGAGAAAATTAGTAATGTTTAGGGGTGCTGAGGTTAGGGGCAGGGGAACGCTGAGGGGCTGAGTGGTAGGGAATATTCAGTCCCTTGTTCTGTAAGCTTTTTGTCCCTAGAAGAAAAGAGGAGATAAATTGTTTCCAGCTGCCTTTCCTGAAGGGCGCTCCAGCGTGGATGCTCTCCGGAGCTGCCTTACCAGGGAGCGACATGAGCAGGGCTTTTGATGTGCAGAGCATTTGGGGAAGTTTATAAATGGATCACTACAAACAAAGCTGTTCTTGGATGCAGATTGTTTCCATATGGGAAACATAAACTGTGCTGGCTTGTGGAGGGTTCCTCCCTGCCTGTCAGAGAGAAAGCGTGTTCCCTGGAGGGAGCTGGGGCAGGGGCTGTGCCCAGAACCCCAGGGTACTGTGCCAGCTGGGGCACCATGCCTGGACCCCTTCACTGCTGGACTTGCCCGTCTGGCTGCGCTGTGCTTGTGGCTGAGGAGCCAAGGGGTTTCTCCTTCCCTTGCACCGCTCAAAGCTGTGAGCAGGGTGCTGCTCTATGCCAGCCTGGCATAAGGCTGCTGCTTTGATCTAGGGAGGAAGGAAGTTCCCAGGCCAGAGGAGAGAGCAGAGTCTCCCTGGTGGCTGTGACTGTGGGGTGATGGAGGACCTCACTGTGAAGCCTTCGCTCCCACCGGCTCCAGGGCTCCCCCCCGGGACCAGCCTGCATACAGCTGTCCACACCAGACACGCTGCTCTCACAGCCCAAACCAGCCAGGGCTGAGACCTCCTGCTGGGGATGGGGTGCAGACAGGACCACTCCTGTACCCAGCTTGGGCTGGGGAGCTGGCAGACAGGCTCTTGCAGGATTGGAACTAAAGCATGACCGGGCAGTGGGTGCTGGTGCTGCTCTTGGCTTTGTGACAGGAGCTCAGAGCTGCTTGCCACAGGGCAGAGACAGGAGGGTGCTGGGGGGAGAGTCTTTCTTCCAGCATCTCCAGGGCCCCCTTGGCCTCAGGTGCTGTAGGCTGGCTCTGATGATGGTCTTGGCTGTTTGGTGGTGACAGGAGGCCAGCGCTGCTGGTAGCAGCTCGCCACACTCACTGCAAAACAGGAAACCACGTTCCTGGCTGCTGGAGGAGCCCAGCGAGGGGGTGCCAGGGATGCCACTAATAGCTGTGGTATGGCAGGCC